CCACCTGAAGACGGAGACTTGTGTTGCCTCCGAAACGTCGTGATTTAATTTAGTTATTTTTCACTTATTTTTTTGACCTACATGACTTTACCGAAACAACCTGAGAGTATGTGGCATTGTGCTTGTTCATTTGCATCGGCATCGGCATCGGCAGCCACGCGAACAGAGCAGACTCGTAGATACCCACCGATATCCAGACTCACAGAGATGCACAGAGACTCAGGGAGACCCAGAGACACCCCGAGAGAGCCGAATCATCAACACATCGACCCGTGGAGACATGATGATGATTCACCGCTCCGCTACTCCCGGCGGGGTCGTCTGGCAACATATCATAGCCACCGTGATGATGATGATGATGAGAGACACAGACCTCCTGTCTACCAGGCGAGGTAGTCAACATCTCATAGCCACCGTGATGATGAGAGAGACACAGACCTCCTGTATACCAGGCGAGGTAGTCAACATCTCATAGCCACCGTGATGATGATGAAAGAGAGAGACACAGACCTCCTGCGTACCAGGCGAGGTAGTCAACATCTCATAGCCAGCGTGGTGATGATGAGAGAGAGAGACACAGACCTCCTGCACACCAGGCAAGGTAGTCAACATCTCATAGCCACCGTGATGATGATGAAAGAGAGAGACACAGACCTCCTGCGTGCCAGGCGAGGTAGTCAACATCTCATAGTCACCATGATGATGATGAAAGAGAGAGACACAGACCTCCTGCGTACCAGGCGAGGTAGTCAACATCTCATAGCCAGCGTGGTGATGATGAGAGAGAGAGACACAGACCTCCTGTCTACCAGGCGAGGTAGTCAACATCTCATAGCCACCGTGATGATGATGAAAGAGAGAGACACAGACCTCCTGCGTACCAGGCGAGGTAGTCAACATCTCATAGCCAGCGTGGTGATGATGAGAGAGAGAGACACAGACCTCCTGCACACCAGGCGAGGTAGTCAACATCTCATAGCCACCGTGATGATGATGAAAGAGAGAGACACAGACCTCCTGCGTGCCAGGCGAGGTAGTCAACATCTCATAGCCACCATGATGATGATGAAAGAGAGAGACACAGACCTCCTGCGTACCAGGCGAGGTAGTCAACATCTCATAGCCAGCGTGGTGATGATGAGAGAGACACAGACCTCCTGCGTACCAGGCGAGGTAGTCAACATCTCATAGCCAACGTGATGATGATGAAAGAGAGAGACACAGACCTCCTGCGTACCAGGCGAGGTAGTCAACATCTCATAGCCAGCGTGGTGATGATGAGAGAGAGAGACACAGACCTCCTGCGTACCAGGCGAGGTAGTCAACATCTCATAGCCACCATGATGATGATGAAAGAGAGAGACACAGACCTCCTGCGTGCCAGGCGAGGTAGTCAACATCTCATAGCCACCATGATGATGATGAAAGAGAGAGACACAGACCTCCTGCGTACCAGGCGAGGTAGTCAACATCTCATAGCCAGCGTGGTGATGATGAGAGAGAGAGACACAGACCTCCTGCGTACCAGGCGAGGTAGTCAACATCTCATAGCCACCATGATGATGATGAAAGAGAGAGACACAGACCTCCTGCGTACCAGGCGAGGTAGTCAACATCTCATAGCCACCGTGATGATGATGAAAGAGAGAGACACAGACCTCCTGCGTGCCAGGCGACGTAGTCAACATCTCATAGCCAACGTGATGATGAGAGAGACACGCAAACTACAAATATACAGCAGCAGCAGGTGTCGTCAGGGTCGGGATCGAACCCACGCCCTCCTGTCTAGCAGGCGAGGTAGTCAACATCTCATAGCCACCATGATGATGATGAAAGAGAGAGACACAGACCTCCTGCGTGCCAGGTGAGGTAGTCAACATCTCATAGCCAGCGTGATGATGATGAGAGAGACACGCAAACTCCAAATATACAGCAGCAGCAGGCGTCGTCAGGGTCGGGATCGAACCCACGCCCTCCTGTCTACCAGGCGAGGTAGTCAACATCTCAAGGGCAGCGTGGTACTCACAGCTGTCCAGCCAGAAGACGGTGGGAGGAGGGAAGCCGTGGGCAGCAGGAGGGCGGCAGGGCAGCACGGCCGGGGAGCCCACGGCGGCCATGACGGGCGCCAGCTGCTCACGAGGCCACCGCGGGGCACCTGCAGGGTACAGACAAAGTCTCCCTGTGTAGCCTTCGCAGGGCGTCGGGGCAAGTGCTGCCAGCGAGTTGGTGGTCAGCACCGGGCCGCCTTTGTTTTTCCGATGGTGACGTGTTTACATGGCGCATTAGGTACGCGTTTGAGGCTGAGTCGACCTAGGGGAGGGCCCAGGACGGGTTCAGCACTTTGTGTGTGGGGAGTGGTGGTGCAGCGGTTAGCACCCTGTGTGTGTGTGAGTGGGGAGTGGTGGTGCAGCGGTTAGCACACCCTGTGTGTGTGTGAGTGAGTGAGTGGTTGACGGTGCGAGCGTGCCCCCCCCCCCCCCCCCCCACTCACGCGCCAGCCTCACGGTGATGTTGTTGCTGAGCGCCGTGCCGGCCCGGTTCCCCGCCCAGCAGCGGTAGACCCCCTGGTAGCGCTGCACCGCCGCGGTGACGTCACCGTCACCGTCACCGCCACCGTCACCGTCACCGCCACCGTCACCACCGGACTCCGCCGCCGCCGCCGCCACCGCTGCCAAGTCGACGGTGAAGGTCCCCGAGCCGTCCCCACGGCGCCGCACGTGGGGGTCACTGTCGGGGTCAAAGCTGTCCCCGTCCTTGCTCCACCAGAAGCTGCAGCACAGGCGGGGAGGGGGAGGGGGGGGAGTGGGGGGGGGGAGGGAGGGAGGGGGAGGGGGGTAGGGAGGGGAGGGGGGAGGGATGGGATGGAGGAGAGGGACGGGAGGGGGAGGGGGAGGGAGGGGGGAGGGAGGGAGGGGAGGGGGAGGGAGGGGAGGGGGGAGGGATGGGATGGAGGAGAGGGAAGGGAGGGGGAGGGGGGAGGGGAGGGGGAGGGATGGGATGGAGGGGAGGGAAGGGAGGGGGGAGGGAGGTGGGGATGGGGGTAAGTCAGAAGGGAGGGATGGAGGGAGGGGGGAGGGTGGGGGAGGGAGGTGGGTGGGGATGGGATGGAGGGAGGGGAGGGAGGAGGGGGGAGGGAGGGAGGGGGAGGGGGGAGGGAGGAGGGAGGGAGAGAGTTAATTCGGGATGGAGGGAGGAAGGGGGGTAGGGAGATGGGGAGGGGGGGGTAAGTCGGGAGTGAGGGGAGATGTAGTGAGGGATGGATGGAGGAGTGTGCAGCGTACGTGGGCGCTGGGTTGCCGCGTGCTTCACACTGCAGCACCACGTTGTCACGTGGGTCGACGGTGTAGTCCTCGCGCGATTGCCACGTGATGGACGGGGGCTGGGTGACTGCGAGAGACCAACGGGTCAACAACAAAGTTGAGTTGATGGACTTGGGTGGATGAGTGATGGGTGTAGTTTCAAGTTTCAAGTTCATGTAGTGGGTGTAGAGCCCTGTGAGACATTCGGCTCTTGAATCGGGTGCAACCGCAACAAACAAAAAACAAAAACACGAACAAAAAACATCTTAAAGTGACGATGTGACTGAGTGCTAAAAGCAAATCCAAGAAAAGACAGCAAAATATTGCAGAAAAATCACCGTACACCAACGCTGTGTGCAAACACCCCAGTGGGATGCAAGTCAAACAACAACAACAACCGCAAGACAACTTAGATTAACGCCATCAGTCTAACTCTGTACTACAACAAACAAACATGGCCAAACCAAAGAACTTTTCGAAAATCACCAAAATAAAGCCAAACAAGCAATGCAACAGTGCAGGTCATAGGAACTGTGACGGAGTTTTCACAATAAACGATGTAAACAACATGTACCACCAAACCCTGCAGCCACAGCTGGCTGCATGGGTCACTCCACAACAGCAGGAGGAGCATCAGTCGGAGTGTCAACATTTTTCAATGCACCTTTAAGATCAGCGCACTAAATCAAAACACAGATCATACTTTGCAGCGATCATCCGGAGCGAAACATTGTATTTTAGGCCACTAAATTGCAGTGGCAGTTAGGGGTGTACAACTCCTCTAGAGCAGTTTTGAGTGAAGATCTCATAGGTAGAGATTCAAATTGCAGTTTATTGGCGACAGCATTCCAGACCCTGGGGGCATCAATAGCAAAGGCCCTTCCTCCAGTGTTTGTACGGCAATAGGGAATGTGAAGCTGGTAAATGAGCGAAGACCTTAGGTGTTTCGATTTAAAGCTTTCGTGACTGCAGGGATTCATCTTATTGGTTAAACGCAAGCAGCCGTCCTCAGGTGAAGACCAGGTCTGTCGGGGAGACAGTATCTGACGCTGTCTCCCCGACAGACCTGGTCTTCTGCTTGCGTTGTGGCCGAAACGTCGTGAGAATTATTTTACTGTTTTATTTTTATTATTTTATTATTTCCCTTTTACGTGACTTTACCGAAAGAACCAAGAAGATGAATCCCTGCAGTCACGAAAGCTTTACATCGAAATTACATTTTTAATTTTTATTATTAAAAACATAAAATATTTTATTTTCATTATTTTATTATTTCCCTTCTACGTGACTTTACCGAAAGAATCAAGAAGATGGACCTTAGGTGCTGTAGGGGGGGGGGGTATCAGCTGCTTAACGGGAGGGGGGGGTGTTTGCTACTCACGGTCAAGGGGCAGGACGAGGGGCTGCTCACAAAGAGCGCCGAGCTGCAGCAGCAGCAGCAGAGACGCCACCACGAGGTGGGGGGCGGCGGTGGTGGTGGAGAAAGAAGACGCCATCGGGGTGGGGGGGGGCTTCCTTCACTTGGCTAGGAGGGGAGGAGAAGAGGGAGGGGAGGGAGAGGGGAGGGAGGAAGGGAGGGGTGGGAGGGAGGTGAGAGAGGGGTGGGAGGGGGGGTGGGAGGGGTGGAAGGGAGGGAGGGGTGGGAGGGAGGTGAGAGAGGGGTGGGAGGGAGGGGGGGAGGGAGGGAGGAAGGGGGGCCATCTTGAGGCAGCAGCATCAGCGGCTCCGTGGTGCGGACGGACACTTGACGCTCACTGAAAATGTCCGCCAAAAAGACGAAAAAGGCCATCGAGTCCATCAACTCGCGACTCCAGCTGGTGATGAAGAGTGGCAAATACTGCCTGGGATACAGACAGACGCTCAAGATGATCCGGCAAGGCAAGGCCAAGCTGGTGCTGCTCGCCAACAACTGCCCGGCACTGAGGAAGTCCGAGATTGAGTACTACGCCATGCTGGCCAAGACGGGCGTCCACCACTACAGCGGCAACAACATCGAGATGGGCACGGCGTGCGGCAAATACTACCGCGTGTGTACGCTCGCCATCATCGACCCCGGTGACTCGGACATCATCCGCTCCATGCCGGAGCAGCAGCAGCCGCAGCCCGGGGACAAGTGAAGCGGCGGGGGTCCCACGGCGCCCCCCCCACACCACCAATAAAGCCCCCCCATCGAGTCCCGTAAAAAAAAAAAAAAAAAAAAAAAAAAGAGAGAGAGGTGGGAGGGAGGGAGGTGAGAGAGGGGTGGGAGGGAGGGGGGGAGGGGACGAGGGATAGAGGGAGAAAGGGGTGGGAGGGAGGTGAGAGAGTGGTGGGAGGGAGGGGGAGGGAGGGGAGGAGGGAGGGAGGGGTGGGAGGGAGGGGGGAGGAGAGGGAGGGGCGGCAGGAGGGGGAAGGATGGGAGGGAGATTTGGGGGTCTTACAATGGAACATCTGTGACGTGTTGTTTGTCTACTAAAAGCCATCCAGGCAGCGAATTTCAGTCACGTAGGGGAAAATAAATAGTAATAAATAAATTATAAAATGATAGAAATAATATTAATAAAATGATAATTATTAGACTATTTTATATAATTTAATTAATTTTATTATTTCCATCATTTTATTATTTAATATTAATTTTTCCCTACTTGACTTTACCGAAAAAACCTAAGAGTATGAATCGTTGCAGTCACGAATGCTTCAAATCGAGAAGCATTGAGGTGTTTTAGAACTACAGATGAAGGTCTTCATTCCGGTGAGCTATCAAGTTCTTTTACACAAACGCCGAGGAAGGTCACGGGGTCAGGACATGAGAACATTCAGTACAAAAGCACGATACGCTCAAAGTAAAAACAAAGTTTTACACTATAAATCCTTTATCAGCGTGGCATCGGTTTTATTTTATTATTCATTTCTGTTTTTCTTGAGTAAGAGTTTCATTTTTATCACATTGGTATTTTAAATTAAATATAAGGAAAGTCGTATATAAGGATTATAAGGTTTTCAGTTTTTGTATGATTGTTTATATTGTACATTTTTGTTGTTTTCTTGAATAATTTTCTGTGTTTAGGAAAAATATACGATTGTGTTAGTGACATTGTTTTTTTCCTAAAAAGTGGCAAATTTTGGGAAAAAAAATTTCACGACAATAAATTGTCACGCACAACGAGTCTGTGTAGCAAAATGTCAGCTCGATTGGATCACGGGAAGTGGGTTAAAAAACGACCGAAAGATTTGCACGGTCGTAAGCGCGCAAGCAAGCGAACTTAATATAAAGGATTTAATAATAATAGAAATGGATATGTATTTTCCCCTTTTATTCTCTGCTTTATCAATGTTGATAATTGTCACCAAAGTACACTTTAAAACTCTTATTCTTAGGTTTTTTCGGTAAAGTCACGTAGGTAAAACATTAACATTAATAAAAGTAAAAAAGTAACATTTTACTTTTATTAATTGTAATGTTTTACCTACGTGACTTTACCGAAAAAAACCTAAGAATATGAATCCTTGCAGTCACGAAAGCTTCAAATCTAGAATGTTTAAAGCTCTCTTAATTAGAAGCTTTCGTGACTTCAGGAATCCATACTCTTTGGTTCTTTCGGTAAATTCACGTAGGTGTAAAATAAAATAAATCACGACGTTTCGGGCTCAACACAAGCGTCCATCATCAACACAAGCGTCTATCATCATCATCTGATGATGGACACTATACCGAAGTAACTTTACCGAAAGAACCAAAGAGTATAACTTAACACTGTTTTAAAACTCTCTTCTATAGGCACAGCGCCATTTTGGCTTTTCATTATCAGATTCGTTAACTTGACTTTTTGATTTAAAGCTTTCGTGACTGCAGGGATTCATCTTCTTGGTTCTTTCGGTAAAGTCACGTAGAAGGGAAGTAATAAAATAATAAAAATAAAACATAATAAAACAATTCTCACGACGTTTCGGCCACAACGCAAGCAGCCGTCCTCAGGTTAAAACCAGGTCCGTCGAGGCGACAGAGTCTGAATGAAACAGCACACGGGCTTGGAGCATATATATAAGCTGGGCGCATTGACAAAGGAATTTGCATATCAACAGGAATTTAGCATATTTATGGGAAATGCAGGAATGTAATTAGTACTGCATATGCATGTGCATTATGCAGGATTAACAGCAGCTCCCTTTGATGCTGTTAATCCTGCATAAAAAATAAGAAAAATATTATAATAAATGAAAAATAACTAAATTACATCACAATTGAGTTATTTTTCGTTTATTATAATTTTATAACTTTTCTTACCTACGTAGTTTTACCGAAAAAAACCTAAGAGTATATCAATTATCTGTATACCGATTAAATCTAGTTTAGTTGTATCTGTATATGGATAACACGTAGTTTAGCTGTATCTGTATATCGATAAACAAGATCGTGTTTTCATGTTATCTGTATATAGATGACGAATTAGTTAAGTTGAATATGTATTTATAAAAACATGAAAATGATGGTTTGACCTTTCCTCTACTTTGCGTGGCGGTGACACTGATTCTGCCGAGTTGTTGAACTCAGCAGCAGCAGAAGGAGCAGTGCAGATGGAGGGTGGCATGTGATGTCGATCTGAATGTCACTTCTATTTACGATGGAGATGTGTTACAACGACCCTATCATCGTAAGTCGAAAATATCGTAAGTCGAAGATGGCCTCTAGCCTAGCCAGGAGTCTTACAGGGTGGTGGTAATCTAGCAAAACAGAGCAAGTTACAGTAGCGTACTGTATAGACTATATCCTGTGTGTGTTTATTAATTACAATACTGTATTGCACAGTAACATTTAAAGTAAAAAAACCAAGGTAAATTCTTAGCCTACCTATATGAACTGCAAATTAATATAAAGCTTATTTAGGAAACAATCCTATCTGCTATATAAAATAACACTTTTAACATACATTGAATATATCATATCGTGGTAACATTGAAATTAAATCGCTAAAGCTACGTATCATAGTGTAGTGTATAGTGTAGTGTATAGTAATAGTGTAGTGTATAGTGTAGTGTATAGTGTAGTGTATAGTAATAGTGTAGTGTATAGTAATAGTGTATAGTAATAGTGTAGTGTATAGTGTAGTGTATTGTAATAGTGTAGTGTATAGTAATAGTGTATAGTGTAGTTTATATTAGTGTATAGTAATAGTGTAGTGTATAGTGTAGTGTATAATAATAGTGTAGTGTATAGTGTAGTGTATAGTGTAGTGTATAGTGTAGTGTATAGTAATAGTGTAGTGTATAGTAATAGTGTATAGTGTAGTGTATATTAGTGTAATGTAGTAAATAAAATCGCTCAAGCTACGTATCATAAATGCATTCACCGTGGCCAATTACAGCCAACGTTAGTTGAGCGTGGACAATTAGACCCAAGCCGACACGTAACATTAACAAAAGAATGTTTAAAAATATTTATTTTTAAAATATTTTTAATGATAGAATATAGTGTTGTCATCAGTATGACGTAAGTATATCAAGTTTGCAGTCGATGCCACATTGGGAAGTGGGTTAAAATTGAGTTAACCGATTTGAGGATACAAAAACAACGACAACAACAACGTGTAAAATTGGAATCATGGAGAGTATCTATATGAACAAAGCGCTCTACCTACAGCATGTACCGCTATAAACCTTGTGCATGTGTAGTAGTACCCCAGTGATTACCCTGTAATCGGATTATTTGTATGTGGTAAGGGTAAAAGTAGTCTCGTTGTTTTTCTTACTCTTAAGTTTTTTTCGGTAAAGGCACGTAGGTTAAATAAGAAAAATAAAATAATAATACGTAAAAATAAGTCGATGTATTTTTATTTTATTTTATTATAATTTTTTTTATTTTTTTACCGACGTGACTTTACCGAAAAACAACCCGCTAAGAGTATGAATCCTTGCAGTCACGAAAACTTCAAATCTAGAATCGCTGCTTTTCCCTTTAACCTCCACCTTGCCGAGGCCTACACGCACACACTCACCCCCCACTCGCTCGCTCACTCACCCACACAGCAAGAGGATGAGGTGGTGGTGATGAGAGGCTTGCCTGTGGAGGTGTCAGTCCCAGCACCACAGCAATGGTGGAGCAGCAGCAGTTGCCCAGCAAGAACCCAGCCAGCACCCAGCAGCTTGACTGCAGCAGCGTCTGTGTCCAGGGCTCCGTGTTGACTCAGCCCTGGTGACTCAACACGCCCCTTGCCAAGGGCTGGCTCGACTCTGGCGAATGGTCGATGGTTCCCGCTGAGCTGTGCGGATTTAAGCTTCACAATCATGGAATGCGTTGCGAAATACCCACGTCTAGAGTCAACATCGCGTCGGGTAGACTCTGTCTACTGCTGGGTGAGGAGGAGGGGTAGGGGGGTGCGGGGGGTGCAGGGGGGGCAGTGTTGAGTCTATGGGTAGTGTTGAGTATATGGGCAGTGTTGAATCTATGGGCAGTGTAAGTCTATGGTGCAGTGTTGAGTCTATGGGCAGTGTTGAGTCTATGGGCAGTGTTGAGTCTATGGTGCAGTGTTGAGTCTATGGACAGTGTTGAGTCTATGGGCAGTGTAAGTCTATGGTGCAGTGTTGAGTCTATGGGCAGTGTTGAGTCTATGGGCAGTGTTGAGTCTATGGTGCAGTGTTGAGTCTATGGACAGTGTTGAGTCTATGGGCAGTGCTGAGTCTATGGGTAGTGTTGAGTCTATGGGCAGTGTTGAGTCTATGGGCAGTGTAAGTCTATGGTGCAGTGTTGAGTCTATGGGCAGTGTTGAGTCTATGGGCAGTGTTGAGTCTATGGTGCAGTGTTGAGTCTATGGGCAGTGTTGAGTCTATGGGCAGTGTTGAGTGTATGGGCAGTGCTGAGTCTATGGTGCAGTGTTGAGTCTATGGACAGTGTTGAGTCTATGGGCAGTGCTGAGTCTATGGGCAGTGTTGAGTCTATGGGCAGTGTAAGTCTATGGTGCAGTGTTGAGTCTATGGGCAGTGTTGAGTCTATGGGCAGTGTTGAGTCTATGGTGCAGTGCTGAGTCTATGGGCAGTGTTGAGTCTATGGGCAGTGTTGAGTCTATGGGCAGTGCTGAGTCTATGGTGCAGTGTTGAGTCTATGGACAGTGTTGAGTCTATGGGCAGTGCTGAGTCTATGGGCAGTTTTGAGTCTATGGGCAGTGTTGAGTCTATGGGCAGTGTTGAGTCTATGGTG